CCCATGCTTCTGATTATACCTTTTAGCTACTAATCTTGCCTTGAACCTCTCAACAGTCCCATCTGCTTTTAATTTGATCTTATATACCCATTTACACCCAATTGCTTTCTTTCCCTTTGGTAAGTCAACTAAAACCCAAGTCTGATTAGAATGCAGTGCTGCAATTTCGTCCTTGTCCATAGCCTTTACCCAAGAAGGATCACAAGAAGCCTCATTATAACAAGTTGGTTCAGCTATATTGTCCAAAGAACAAATGAAAGCTTTATGTTCAAATGGCAAATTCTCAAATATAACCATGTTGCACCAATGTTGAGATTCAAGAGCTGTGTGTTTCTGATTTGGTTTAGAATGTGGAACAAATTCTTTATGGTGTTTTGGTGGGTTGATAGGTCGAGTAGATCTCCTAAGAGTAGGATGATCATCAGATTCAGAAATATTCTGAACTGGTGCAGGAACAGGACATATAGTGTTTAGGCTCTTTTGTGGTGTTGAATTTTAAGTGTTTGGGATATTTTGTGGTGTTGGCTGACTGGCTGTAAAATATTGGGAATATCATCATCAAAGTGAGTTGGAACAGGTGATGATAAAGGTAAACAAATCTAAAAAGGGGGATTAGAGACAGTAGAATTTGGATCAGAAACAGTATAGGGAAAATTCTTTTCATAGAAAATTACATTCCTAGTAACATGAATTTTACCACTAGTAAGATCTAGAACCCTATAGCCTTTTTGTGATGCTGGATAACCTAGAAAAACACAGGGGTTTGCTCTTAAATCAAATTTGGATATGCCTTGTTTGATGGTAGACATATAACACAAGCAGCCAAACACTATATAAGGTGATCAATGACAGGTTTTTTATTGAAAAATTTCTCAAAAGGAGAAACATAACCAAGGCATTGTAAGGGCATTCTATTGATTAGGTGAGCTGCTATCAACACACACTCTCCCCAAAATCTTGCAGGAACCTTAGACTGAAAGTAGAGAGCCCTAGCTGTCTCTAAGAGATGTTTATGCTTCCTCTCAACTACCCCATTTTGTACGTTGAGGGGATTCTGTACAGCTAGACTGATGAAAAATGCCTTCCCTAGCATAGAATTTCTTCATTTCACCATCAAATAATTTTAGAGCATTATCAGTTCTGATATTCTTTATTTTGGCCCCAAATTGATTACCAATGAACATTGCAAAATCACATAAGACTTGGATAACATCTGATCTATTTTTAAGCAAGAAAATCCAAGTAAATCTTGTAAAATCATACACTATTGTCAGAAAAATATTACAACCATTATGAGTGGTTACCTTATTTGGTCCCCATGCATCTAAGTGTAGCAACTCAAAAGCCTTAGATGTTTTAATGGAACTATGACCAAAAGAAAATATGTGTTGCCTAGAAAAATGACAAATCTTAAAAGTACAAGATACTAAATAATCCTTAGTATCTAGATCAGGTATGACTTTATTCAAATGAGCTATTGGCATATGACCTCATCTTAGATGCCATAGCTTGACATTATTAATAGAGCTAGAATCTAGGGCTGATTCTTGAGGATAATGAACTGCAGCACAACTTGACTCTTGGCAATCTTGAAATAAAGACCTCTCCAAGCAATATAGACCATCTTTTAATCTACCAAGCAGCAGTGGCTTGGTCAGAGTAGGGCCTTGAATATAACATTCATCATGAGAAAAATAAGCCACACAATTCATATCTTTACACAATTTTGGAATTGAAATCATATTGAATTGAAAGCCTGACACATGCATCACATCTTGTAGCACAAGTTTATCACCAAACCTAATTGTTCCTTTGTTCTGAACACTCAGTTTTCTTCAATCAGGTATAGTAATATTACTAACAGAATTATTCAAGCTATGATAATTCTGAAACAAACTAAGATCATGACTCATATGATCAGTGGTACCACTATCAATAATCCAATGAGAATTCCTGAAGGATAAAAGACAGAAAGTGCCTGCTACCATTGTAGCTATCTTAGTTTTCTCATCATCATTCCTTTTGTCTAAAAGAGAGATGAGATGATTGTATTGCTCCATAGTGATGGTTGCAGTGCTACTTACTTCATCAGACTGCTGAGAATCATCATTAACATCTAGTTCACCATGGACTGCAGCTACAATACCTTTTCCTTACCAATTCTCCTTGATATGAGGTGGATAACCATTAATCTTCCAGCATCTCTCAATGGAATGACCTAAGATCTTGCAATGATCACAAAAATAAGGTGATGGCCTCCTTGAAGAATTGTTCCAAGGCTGAGAAACTTGCTGTGTTCCACCTCTTTGTAAATCAGCATTAATCATGCCAGTAGATCTGTTTCTCTGCTGATTATTAGATTCATAGAACCTTCTCTTGTGTGATGCTGCAAATGCTACTCCCTCTCCTGAGTGAGAAGAAATATATACCTATCTATGCCTCTCTTCTTGCATTAAAAATCTGTATGCATGAGAAATAGATGGCAGAGGAAAAATCATCAAAATTTTAGCTCTGACTTGACTAAACTCTTCTCTCAATTTCATTAGAAACTGTATAAGTCTCTTATCCTCTTGTGCCTTCAAAATTTTCTTAGTAATATGACATGTGCAGTTAGCACAAGTACAAACAGGCAAAGTATTCTGAGCATCATATTCATCCCAAAGCATCTTCATCTTAGTGAAAAATGTAGAGATATTCTCAGATTCTTGATGTATGTCTGCAAGCTGCTGTAGAATAGTATAACTATGTGTTCCAGAAGTCTGACCAAACTGTTCTTCCAAGTTTATCCATATTTCTCTAGCAGTGTCGAAGTACAAAACACTTCGAGCAATTGTGACATCAAGAACTTGGATAAACCAGGAAATAAGTGCACTATTACACCTATACCATGCTTTGTGCAGTGTATTGTCTGATGGATCGGGTTTCTCAAGTGAACCATCAATGAATCCAAGCTTATTCTTAGCTGATAATCCAATCATAACAGACCTCTTCGAATCATTATAACCACTACCATTGAATTTTTCAGAGTCTAGTTTATACTGTGAATCACTAGGATGCAGATAATAAGGTGAGGTAGGATCAAGTGAAGGATCAGAAACAGTTTGTGCAGCCATATTAACAATCAAGAATTGTGTAATCAAACAAAGAATCTCAGAATTGTAGTGCAGATCAACAATATCAACAACAAAAACAAGTAGCAAGAACAATCAATCACAAGTACTTGCAGATTTCACAGTTCTGATGAAAAATTATCAGAAAAATAGGCTTGAGATCGAAGAAAAACTTATAGAATTGCAGAATCAAACGTTTGCAGTACCAAAAATTTGGGAAACAGATCAATAATTCGAGCTCCTGTGCTCTGATACCACGATACAATTTGTAGGATCGAATTCTAGAACAAACAAAGAAGAATTTAGAAGAAAAATATTCAAGAGATTTGCATAATTTAGAGAGAAAACTAGGAGATTTTGTGTTTGATTTTTGTAGAATGAATTCTTACAACTTATTACAGCAGAAAATCTATTTATATAGTTGTAATACAAGGAAGAGGAAAATATCCAGAAGCTACTAAACACAGCAGCTGAGAAGAACTTTGTTATAACAAACTTGCTGACTGTACCAATCAGTATAACACAATTTGGGCAGTGCTAATGTACTCTGCTGTGACTGACTGTAACATGGGGCTTGCTGTGACTCACTGCAGCTTCCTTCAAGTCATTATCAGTATGTTTAACATGTATTTTACCACCCACAAATAACCCACTTATTGATATTACTACACACACACACACAGGAAAAAAAATACTACCATTACCCAAAAAATCTCTTGCTTAGATGTTAAGATGTAAAATACAAGGATCATGCACATTATCACAATAACAGAAAGTGCAAATGGTGGTTATTTTTTTAAAAAAAAAATTATTTATTTATTGTCTTTTTAAGTGGTATTTTAAAATACTTTTTTTTTTGGGTGGTAATATTAATAAGTGGGTGGTAAAATACAAAATGTCAGCTATCAAAAGAAAACAAAAAAATACAAAATATCATATTTTTTTTTATTAAGGAGTTTATAATAGTAAAAATTATTGTATTTAGATGGTTAATACTTGTATAATACTCCATCGGTGTAATGGATTGTTTCATGGGTTATTTTCTTAAATTAGCTTTGGCCAACATCAATTTTATAAAACTATACAGTACCTTTTTTTTCTTTATACGGAGTACTACATATATTTCTATTATATATAAAATAATAATTTTTTAACGCATGGTCTATACAATAATGCCAAAATAAGCAAAATTAATACTTTCTGCATTACTTTTGTAATTGCGGATTCCTAGTTAATTTTTTTGAGTGGAGAGAAAAATTAAATAGGGACCACGTGTGATAGGAGATATAGAGAAAATTTATTAACTAAAAGGGAAAGTGCGTGATTAATGCATTTAAATTAAAACTTTTATATTTGAAAAGTGATGCATCTAATAAAAAACGAAAGACTCTTGATATCATGTGCAAGCAAGGAAATTGTTGAATGGATTATAATGGTTGAACCTTAATGCAAGAGCCCAATACCATTTACGTAGAGAAGTATTATTTATCCTAATTCTATACTTGGTTATTCTACCAAACTTCCCTAGAAAACAGATTACTTACAAACATCTCTCTTAAGTCTTAAGGGATTAGGGATGTATATAGAAAAGTAGAATATATAAATGAATAAAACAAATACATGGGTGACAGATTACTAGGTAGTAAATCGCGTAAAACATCATCACTGCACCCACGTATTTGATTCAGGACGTTTTTCCAAAGTGAGCCAATTTTGGCAAATATTAACCAAAATAGTTGCGTGGCAAAAGTATTTACCAAACTAAGCTTCCAGGCTAAAACGCTGTCTCGGTCAGCGTTTTATGCCTGGTTTTTTTTTTTAAAAAAAAATCAACCTAAAAACGCTGTCTGGGACAGCGTCTTTGTTGTTGACCTTTTTTTTAAAAATTTTTGTAATTGCCTTTTATTTATAAAAATGTTTTTAAAAAACAAAAACAGTTATATGAAAGACGATGTCCCAGACAGCGCTTTATGTACAAACTTCCTTGTACCTAAAACGCTGTCTCAGACAGCGTCTTATTTTCAACCTAAAACGCTGTCTGGGACAACGTTTCTCTGCTGGTGTGCAAAACAGCAGCAGAATCAGCCTTTTTCCACTGATCTGCCACTTTCTTCTGCCCCCACCCACCACCCCCTACCATGATTCTTGCCACCACAATCCACCAACAACCCCCACCATCGACCACCATCTGCCACCACTTTTGACCTCCAACAACACTTCAACCAGCTCCACCACCAACCCCAACCATTCAACAACCGTTGATAACCACCCACCACAACCAACAACACTAAAACCACCATGAACAACCACATTAACCACCACGGGCCATCCTTTCTTCCCCATTTTCGACTATGGATTCCAAATGTCTACTGTTTAATGTACATTAGCCCTGAAGGATCTATTTTGACTGACATCCGATTTGGATAAATAAGCTAACAAAACTTTAAAACACAAACAGATTCATTCAACCAACATGTCTTATATTGATAATGCAATCGTTATATACAGCATTCCAGGAAAAAGGACAAAACAATGATACAATACGTTCACTACTCATCAATTTGGTGTAACCCTTCCCTAGCCTCACTGTCGTCCCTTCGTCTTGGACGACGCCGAGTGTAATGGTGAATGGTGGTGAATGGGTTCCGGCGCGGGGGGGGGGGGAGTGAGCTGGCTGGACGATGCGTCCTCCTGGGTTCTGAAGGGTGCAGAACTATGGAAGATGTACTCCTCTGCCTCTGTGTGCGACGTAGGATCACCTCCACTGCTACTCTGGCCGGGGTCAAACCGCGAATGGATGGAGTGACCATCATCACCGTCCCGCTGTTGGATGAGATGACCGTGACCATGTCTGCGTAAGGAAGTCGCGGACATATCTCGCATCCGCTGGACCTAGGCTCTGGTGGGTCCGTCTGTAGGGGCGAGGGACAGTGCATCATACATCGCCACCATATCCGCCGCCTGTAGTAATCATCGATCAGTCAAGTACATGATATTTAAAAAAGTTAAAAAATGAGGATGATAAGTATAGTAAAAGAAACTCACATATCCGCTAATGACGTCATGTGCCGGGTGGTAATGGGTGGACGGTGGTGTGTAGCTGGGGTTGATGAAACGGCGTGTGATAAGCCTGTACCACACCATGTACGGATCGTCATGATCCATAACGCCCTGCATGGGATAACCCTGAACGACATGACCCAACCGCTGCTCCCATAGCTGAAGATACTGCCAATGCTCCAGTGCCCAGTTTGTCTCCGTCTTTCCCCGACGGTCAATGTCGTGAAGGCGCACGTCAGTGTCACAGTTCTGGGGAATAGGCTGCTGCAGTCCAAACTGTCGCATGACGCGGTCAGGTAGGTGACTCTCCACAACCTCGAAACAGGTCAGGGGGACCCGGGCACGCCACTCTCCCTGATGCTCCAGTAGATGTGCAGGCATGACATCTACCAACTCCGGTACATACGGATCCCATGTGATCTGCAATAACACATCCTAAACAAGTTAGTCCACAATCAGTATACACAGTACCTAAATGATTACAAATGTCTTCAGAGTTTGTACCTGATCCTCAGTGAGTCGATCCAGGGCGTCTCGGTAGTATGGGAGACCCGTCGCCGTATGTGCCTGTGTGAGTCTGGGGACCATCCACCTGGGGCAACAAATTTGGTGAGTATGTTTACAAAATGAAATCGTATATGGGAAAAAAAAATGACAATTGTTACAAACCTGCAACCGTAAGCCTCATCAGCTGCAGGGCGAGGCGGAGCGATGTACGGCTCATACTGGTCATCCTGGTCCTGCTGCCCCGGACGATGTACAGCAGGCCTACCTGGTCTTCCTACGTGGATGTGCTCCCAAGCCCATAGCTTCAATAGCAAAACACAAAACTATGTTAAATATGACATTACTCATTGCATAATTCGCTTGTGATAATATACGTAGTATACCTGAAGCACAAACAGAGGTCCTCCAATCTCGAGCGCACCACTCCGTGAGGCTCTGCAAAGTTGGCGATACAACACCGCCAAAGAGGCACTACCCAGCTGTATCCACGGATATGCTCCCAGTAGTGGTCTAACAGCTGTAGGTAAATAAGCTGCAAGTGGCTCCCGCTCTTGTTGTCGGACAACACGCCGGATATGAGGAAGAACAAGTACGCTCGAGTGTATCTCTGTACTGTGGCGTCATCGGCGTCCGCAGGCAAGCCCTGGAAAGTATCTCGTAACCAGACCGTCCTCAAGGCGGAGCCCCTAACATCGTTGGGACCCGGCTGCACCCTGAGAACCCGCACAACCAATCCAACGGGATCGACTAGAAATGATCCCGTCACCACAGTCCCCTGTACTGGAAGGCGCGTCAGTATTGCCACGTCCCGCAATGTCACAGTCGCCTCCCCAACTGGTAGGTGGAAGGAGTGCGTCTCCTGCCTCCATCTCTCCACTAACGCCGTGACAAGGTGTCGGTCGATCTCCCTAAATCCCAAGCGATGTACACCGCCAAAGCCAGCGTACGTCACGTACTCAAGGCAGCGATCATGGACAACCCAGGGGGTCCTGTAGTGCCTGCACTGTAGTGGCTTCGCTACGTCACCCTGAAAACACAGGAGCATTTATAAGTAACAAAAGATAGTACATCAAAGAATCCAAAAACGTTAAAGATGAATCATTACCGTCAGGTTCCATACGTCGACGCTCCGATGGGTGTCCTGTAGTGTCAGGACAGAAGGGTCAACAGGTCCGGGTGTCCTATCCCGTACGTCCATGATATCTGTTCATTGAAAACGTTACACACCAAACACTAACACAATATATTGAATACTAATTTCGATTGAAAGGCATAAACAGGAAATCTCGAACATCCAACGTACAAAATAAAATTCATCGAATTGAACACAATAACACATAATGTAGAAAATTATAACTGTTTCATCAAAATAACACCACTACATACTACTATATCAAATAACACATATACACTTAGGTCCTATGTTGGTCTAGATCGACAAGTAGTGCGGTTGTGACCTTGCTCGTGACAACGACTGCATTTGGTTGGGGGCCGGTTGTTGTCATCCATCTCATTGCGTATGCGCTTCGACTTTGGACGACCTTTTCCACGTATCATTGTGCCGTCCGGAATGAGTTTAGGGCCTACGTACTGTGCCCACTGTGCCCAGGTTGTCTCGCCGGGGATCGGCCAGAATTGTGGTGCATAGGTGTTCATGTAGGCGGCCGACTGCAACAGAGGGTCCACCCAAGGCCGTTCTGATAGTGAGTATGTAGCACAGACTGCTAGCACATGAGAACATGGGAGGTGGAATATCTTCGGTTTGTTGCACGTACACGTTCTCAACTGCCAGTTCACCGTATGCTTGTGGCCTCCTTTATTACCAACTCTCTCTCCCCTCTCTGTTGTCACTTGGTAAATATGCAATCGCCGGTTATAGGCATCCACTCTATGATATCTGGCTTTAGCGGTGTTCTTCTCGAGGATGGCAGTGACCTTTGGGGGGTATGGAAGTCCTTGATCAGACCTAGCCTCAGAAGACTCCCTTCTCAAAGTGAAATACTTGTTAACTCTGTGGAAGCTTAACTCGACAAGGGACATAATCGGTAGAAACCGAGATCCTTTCAGCACATTGTTGAATGTCTCCGAGAAGTTTGTAGTACATATACCATACCTGCGACCACTGTCGTGAAACAGAGACCACATAGGGAACGGGACTTGAGCAATGTACTCAATGGCCTTGGGACAGGCCTCACCAATGAAACACAGATCAGCTTGAAGTTTTCTTTCTTGCCTTTGGTACGCAGCGGCCTTGAACATGTCTCTCATGTCGTTACTTCGCACGTGAGTCTTCAAGTTAGAGGCTATGTGGCGGACACAAAACCTGTGATACGCTCGGGGCTGGGTGAATCCAACATTAGGATCATTCATTGCTGCAATGATCCCAGGATGTCGATCAAAAATAACACAAAGGTCATCCCGTTGCGTGACACGATCTCGAATACAACCTAGGAACCAAGACCAGCTGGAAGTGTTTTCCCCTTCAACCACCGCAAATGCAATAGGAAATACTTGGAAGCTTGCATCAACACTCGTAGAAACCAACAGTGTTCCTTTATACTTCCCGTACAAGTGCGTCCCATCGATACAGATAACAGGCATACAATGTTTAATGCCATCGATACAAGGACCGAAGGCCCAAAACACTCGTTCAAACACTTCCATGTTGCTGTAGTATACACCATCCACTAAAGCTTTGTGTTTCCATACGACACATGTTCCCGGGTTCGACCGTAGGAGTGCTTGCATGAAGTGGGGAAGTCTGCCATATGAACTCTCCCAATCCCCAAATATCTCAGCTATAGCTTTCTCCTTGGCATACCACGTTCGTCGATACGGGACATCAAAATGAAATTGCTTCGAGATCAGTTCCTGTATGAATTCCACTTTCAACGAAGGATCTTTCCGCACAAAGGACTTCACATACTCGGCTATTACGGACGAATCCAAGTGTGGGTGATCATTAGATAGTACTTCACTGATACATGTCTCCCGATGCAGGCCTTTGTACGTGACTATGGTAAAACCACGTGAGTGCTCACTCGATTTGGTACCCCGTAGCATCCAACCACATTTCTTCTTGCATCGCAGATGTAGGACACCATCATTCGAGGTCACTGTGGTGTAGAATTGATTCCTCTGAATAGAATACATCTTCACCATTTCTTGAAGCAGTTTCTTGCTCTCAAAATATATTCCCTTCTCAAATTCTCCCCCGGGAACAAAAGAGGTGTGGCTACCCGATTCGGACCAATACTAATCAACTTCATAGTTCTCGGGTACCTCACTGAACCAAGATATGGGAGTTCTAACCAACGGCTGACCATCTTCCACCTGTGTAGGTTCATCATCCCCCTCTCCGTTCTCGTCCTCATCATCCATTTCCGCATACACATCATACACCGACAATTCATTATTCACAACATCATCAAAATCATTTGGATCTTCTCGAAACGGTGAACCATCATCACCTTGCATAGGAGAGTAGCTATGCAATTGCATCGGCGAAGATGCCACGGTGTTCGATGACGACGGAGCAGGCTGGCCGAACACTGTCACGCGTCCCCCCGCATGTACTGGTGAAGCTATATGAGAACTAAAAGGCAAGTGAAATTGGTCGTCCTGCATCATTCGAGTGAAAGAACCCATCCCATATGCATTCGATGGAATGTGGTTTGCGGGCTCTTGGAAGGACGCGGTGTTGTAATCAGAGACATATGTAGCTAGGGGTGTACATAAACTGGCCCGGACCTAAAAACCGACCTGAACCGGACCTGTTGGGACCGGACCTAATCCGGACCTGCAGATTCAGGTCCGGTCCCGGTCCTTGAAATTCTAGGATTCCAGGTTTCAGGTCCGGTCCGGGTAAAACCCGGAAATTTCAGGTCCGGACCTGAAACCGGTAAAACTATTTTTTTTTATTTAATAAGTCTAAATAGGTCCATAACAGGTCTAAACAGGTCCAATCAGGTCTAAACAGGTCCAAGCAGGTCCATAACAGGTCCAAACAGGTCCATAACAGGTCCAAACAGGTCTAAACAGGTCAGCACTTTCATCTTATTTTAAAAAAATCAAAAAAAAAATAATCAGGTCTATTCAGGTCCAAACCCGGACCGGACCTGATTTATCAGGTCTGGACCGGAACCGGACCTGTTGATTCAGATCCGGTCTCCGGCCCTTAAAAAATCAAGGATTCAGGTCCCGGTCCATTCAGGTCCGGGTCAGGTCCGGTCCGGTTTTGGACCGGTGTACAGCCCTATATGTAGCTTGCTGTTCTGCCCGAGTACTTTGTTGGGTACATATAGGCACTGTTTCTACATATATCTCATTGGGAAAACCCTTCATTCCTACCATGCTCCTCAAACCTTTCAAATGTCTGTTCGTAGAGACAGGTAACACTTGCACCCCATGACCAGTATCACACCTCATTGTAAGGTTCAGTTCAACAGCCATAGGGTTTGAACCAATACAACTGTGAACCTCATTCATCAGATAAGTCACAATCATGTTCGGTTCAAGTGTTATAAGGTCCATATTCCCTCCACTGTACTCCACATTTGATCCATTACACAAAATTTCACCTCCCCATCGACATAACAACGCTACATTTTGTCCAGCCATATTCTACATAACAACCAAAACACATTTTACGTAAAGCCGTTAAATCATCCCTAAATCACCACAATCAAACAAAAAAATTTTACATACTCTACAAATTAACTACTAAGAACCCCTAAATCACCATTATTACACAACAATGTAGGTAATTACAATTGTTCAAAACCTAATAATTATCAACCATTGTCAACAATTTTCAACAAAACCAACAACAACAATTCAACATTATCCAAACTATTATCAACACTAACAATATCAACACTACCATTATCAACACTAACAATTCAACAATTACCAACACTAATAATTCAACATTACCAACACTAACAATTCAACATTTTTAACACTAACAACTCAACCTCATCAACATTTTAACCCAATTCCAAAAAAATTAGAAATCACCAACATAAACCCTAGAATTTAAAACACAAAGAAAGTTGAATGAATACCTATTTCAGGGTGAGGGGAGTGTATAGTGGGCTACACGGAGGGCGACGGTGGAGGTGACGGCGGGCGACGGTGGAGGTGGCGGCGCCGGCGGCGGTCTACACGGAGGAGCACAAGTATGAGAGAGAGGGGGATTAAGTTAGAGTTTGGGAAAGAAGGGGTTTGAGAATGAAGGAGGAGGAAATGAAATGAAATACGCTGTTTGATGGAAAAAAAAAAACGACAGAAACGCTGTCTTAGACAGCGTTTCATTAATAACCTTAAACGCTGTCTGAGACAGCGTTTATAGTTCCAGAGTTAAACGCTGTCTGGGACAACGTCTTTGGTATAACTGTTTTTGTTTTTTAAAAACATTTTTATAAATAAAAGGCAATTACAAAAATTTTAAAAAAAAGGTCAACAACAAAGACGCTGTCCCAGACAGCGTTTTTAGGTTGATTTTTTTTTAAAAAAAACCCAGGCATAAAACGCTGACCGAGACAGCGTTTTAGCCTGGAAGCTTAGTTTGGTAAATACTTTTGCCACACAACCATTTTGGTTAATATTTGCCAAAATTGGCTCATTTTGGAAAAACGTCCTTTGATTCAATCCTTTAAGTCATCACATGATGAAATACATTTTTAGATATTTCTCGAGTCCTCACATATTGATTCAAATCAAGGGATAAGGTATCTATCAATCAATACGAGTGGAATTACTCAATATCCACAAGAAAGAATCCAACCCTAGAATACGATGCATTCGCAAGTCAATTTATGAAAGAGGGAGAATAAAAATATTGTTACCTTATAATTAGGAGGCATAGAATTCACAACTTTATTTGCGGACGAAGCTTCGTTGTTACATGTAACTATCGTTGATATATGAATATCTTTCACTCAACGCATACACAATACACTAACCAAAAAGTAAAGATGTTAAGTTTCCTAATTTACCTATTTTAATCACTTTACTATCGTATCGTATGAGAAAAAGTTTGTGCGACGACTCTTAATAACAATAATAATAATAACATGGCGGAGGCCGAGTTAGACGACGTAGAGTCATGGCGACTAAACCTCAACTCTTTCCGACTGCCGGAAAATCGTCCTCCTTCCATCTCTCGTTTTGGCCGCCTTTTCCGTACACGCAGTGAGCCAACCCTTTTTTTTTCTTCGTTTATTTACAAGTTACTCCGTATTATAATTTGCATGCTATTTATTTTTATTATTTTTAAATTGTTAGGAAGATTACAAATATATATGTCATTGCATAATTTCTTTTTAGCTAGGTATAATGTGATTGTATATGTGTGGATTTTTTTCATGTAAAGTTGTTGTACAAACCCAAGATGCTTTATAGGGGTTTGTTAATTTTAGTAATTTTGCTGTTCATCTTTCATTTGTTTAATTCTCACTGTTCAAGAGATGTGTATATGTGCAACTTGTTACGATCATATGTACCTTTATGACTTTGAATAATTCTTTGTAGTCGTAATTAAATTAATTGTGGTATATGTTGTTTCAAACTCTTATTATTATTTATGACTTTATTTGTTTAGAATTAATTATCACATAACTAATACTTCGTAATATTGAAAGTTGTATTGGTGTGGAAGTAATCACTACTAAGAGGTCTTATTTGTGAGTCGAAAATGGCTTGATTGGATTGTGCCCCCATTTTCTAAGCTGTACAACGTAACATAATTAAATGGAGAGGAATTCGTTCCCAAATACTTGATACACTTGTGTTAGTGTTCCCGAATACTATTCCACTTCTGTTTGTGATTAATGCTCATTATAGGAAGATTTTTCGGTACATGTAAAATGAATAGGTTAATGTGTAATCGAGTTAATGAGAATATTTATAGTTAATTAGGGGGAGAAAGATTAATTTAAAAATTAGCTCAAGTGGATGCGTGAGAGAGCAACAATAATAAATTATTGTAAGTAGAGTTAGGCCTTGCTTAGTTTAACTTATTTTTACTTATTTCAGAAAAAAAATATGTTCAAATCCGATCAGAAAATAAGTTCAATTCAGATCAGATCAGAAAATATAAGTTTAGATCATGTCATCGTTTTATGTGCAATTTTTTATCGCTAAATATCTTTAATTTTGTAATGAAAAAATTATGAAATTTACATATTAATAAAAATATACATTATTACGAATCTAACTCTTTTTTTCTTCCTAGTTTATGTGAAAAGGCTATTTGCTCGTTTGTCTTCTGCATATACATTTGCATTTAGTGAAATGTGATCCAACCATCTGCATATATTATTTGCATTTAGGTTTCATGACCACATAGGACACTTAGCTGTTGTGTGAGACGGTGTAGAATCAGCTGTTCATACTTTTCTTGTGAGCGCTGATCGATGCTTCATAACATTCAGTATCAGCAACTTAAATACATATTAGCTTCGTTGAATGGATTTGACACTATTGACAGCACGAAGTTAGCAAAGGGAACTATATATGAGGCCAATTTCATGGATTTGTGACTTGTTCCAATTTCAGGGAGACAAGGAAAAGTTGCGGATTATTACAAAAAACAGGAAAGACTGTTAGAAGGCTTCAACGAAATGGAAACCATCAATGAAACAGGTTTTTTTCCTGGAAGTTTGACTGAGGTCAGTTGCAGTTTTCCTTACTTTGCACAAAGATTTATATAGCTTGTTTTTTGGTCCTGAGTTTATTGGAGATTTTGGTCAAGGTAAAAGACAAGGATCCTACATTATATTACAAAGGTAGGAAAAATTCAACAGAAACTGCCTTTGGTACTTGATGTAGCAGGTTGGTTGAAGAGGGTTGTCTTATAGAAAATTTATCGCATTTGCACATAACAAAGGCATACTAAGGAAGCAAAGTGCTTATTTGATATGATCATATGAATGAGTATTGGACCATAAGTTTAACTTCGTAATGTTTAGTGGACTATGAAATGAATGAACTTGTATATTACTGTGAGATTTGGATCCATACTGATTCCTATGTTCTGTTTTTCTTACTTAAATATGCTTCATAGTCTTTTTGAGAAGTAATTTTATACTTTGAATTTTTATTCTCCAGGATGAGATGAAGCAGCTTGCAAAAAGTGAGCGACTGGCAATTAATATATCGAATGCAGCCAATGTTGTTCTTTTCCTAGCTAAGATATATACATCCATAGAAAGCAGATCATTGGCAGTCATTGCATCAACATTGGATTCACTTCTTGATCTTTTGTCTGGATTTATATTGTGGTTTACTTCCCATGCCATGAGAAAACCAAATCAATATTACTATCCGATTGGGAAGAAAAGGATGCAACCAGTGGTATGTCCTTACTTCATATGCATACTTAAAACAATAATGATTTTATATCCACTTTGATAAGGATCTTTCCTGCAGCATCCTACAGCGCGACTCCTTTGTATAATATGCGTACTATATCAGCTTTGAATCACTTTATCAATATTTTTTAAAGCTTAGCTTTTAGTGTGACATCAGAGTAACTCTTGAAGAACATTTGGTGCTACAATTATGTAACCTACTTAGTGTGTCGATCTGTTTCTGGATAAAATTTAGATATATTTCAAATTGGACCGGCTCCTATTTGCATTTAATAAGTCTGATTTCGTCTCTTGTGGATGATTCAGGGAATTATAGTTTTTGCATCGGTTATGGCTACATTAGGACTACAAATACTGCTGGAGTCTGCTCGTGACCTCATTACTAAGGTATGTTGATTTTATCTATTGTCTGATGTACAAACTTGCTTATAGTGATGATTAAGTACTCTATTCACAAGATTTGAAAAGAATGAATTGCTTAAATCAACTTTCTACTCTAGGGTGTTTGAAAAACCTTACTGAATGAAATCCAGGCAAATGTAACCAGCAATTGTTCTGAAAGTGGCAGAACAATTTTGGTCATTTAAGTACGAAGTAAGAATATTAAGCCTGGATTCCTGGAATGCCTGACTAGATTTTGGGCTTATAATGCCTGATCAATCACACTTGTCTGCACACCTGTGATATCATATACCCTGTGTGGCTGCGCCCCTGCCTATCCTCTGAGTAGGTCTGTGTCTTTACCTTCACTTAGATACGATATGTACTTTCTCCGTTTCTTGTTAGTGTTACATACAATAATAATAATAGTGGTTGGGAAGGTGTAGGGATAAGTATGGAGAAAAACTAGAGGAAAAGGTCACTAATAAAATGTTGTTTAGCACTTAATATGGGACATCCCAACGAGGTATGGTATCTCAAACACTTTGTATCATGAAAAACTGCATCTGCTTTGCATCTGGCCACATTAAATATGAAGTAAATGGGTACAAAATTGAGCATTTGAGAGTATTTAGATCGAATTTTTAGATTTAGTGCAATTATAAGAGCTATTCTTATGTATTGAGCAATTGAGATGCTTATGTTTGCTACTCCTGCAGACGGGGCCTAAAATGAATCACACACAAGAAATGTGGATGATCGGGATTATGGTCTCAGTAACAGTAGTGAAGTTTTGTCTTATGGTCTACTGCCGTAGATTTAAAAATGAGATTGTTCGTGCCTATGCTCAAGATCATTTCTTCGATGTTGTTACAAACTCTATTGGTCTGGCGACTGCAGTTCTTGCTGTTCGATTCTTTTGGTGGATTGATCCTACCGGTGCCATAATTGTAAGTTCACCACACTTACCAATTTAAGTTTTCTTACAACTCTTCAATTAATTGCTCCAAAATGGTCGTAGTAAGAGCTAGAATTATCTAACCTGGCTGTCTGGCACGACAACACGACCAAAAATCAGTACTTAACACAGTAACACGTGCATTTTGTATGTAATGCAATTTTATTATATGAACACAACAAGAAATAAAACAGGAGTACAACCATATGATCCACCTAACCAGATTGCCAACTGAGAAAAATTGAGTAAATTTTCAATATTCTACTGAAAAACATTACTATCTCTTGGAACTTTGCTGTAGATTGCTTTGTACACTATCGGTACATGGGCAAGAACTGTCATTGAGAACGTCTGGTCACTGATCGGAAGGACTGCACCACCAGAGTTCTTAGCCAAGTTAACATATCTTATATGGAATCATAATGAGGAGATAAAGCACATTGACACCGTACGAGCATACACTTTTGGTACACACTACTTTGCAGAGGTTGACATTGTGCTGCCGGAAGATATGCTTCTGAACCAAGCACATAACATCGGTGAGACACTCCAAGAGAAACTCGAGCAGCTACCTGATGTAGAACGAGCATTTGTGCACATCGATTTTGAGTTCACTCACCGACCAGAGCACAAAGCAAAAGTTTGAGGATCCTAGAAACAGACTCAAAGTTTAGGAATTTCATCAAGTATTATCAGATGAATTTTTCCATGTTTATAGCCTATTATGTGTACGGTTTTATATAATAATATTATTTGCTGGAAAATTCCTTGCCCCAGGGATCATCTGCGCATCTAGTTATCCTGATTTCCTGATATCTGATAATTGCTTCCTTTGGAAGCAAAAGCAAAATGTGAGATTTTATGATTGTTTTTTACACTTCGTATATTCCGGTATTCTCAATATACTCCCTCCGTATTTTATTAAAAAATATAGTCTTATAAGTACTTATTGAAATAATTTCAATAGATAGTTATTTGTATTGTATTTATTCAATTGTTATTTTTTTTAAGCAGACCTTGAAACTTTGATGTATTGTCTTTTGTGTATTTATAGTATAAGAAGGGTTGCTAAGATTATTATAAACCAAGTATTTTGAACTTAAAACTTGTTATTATCTACTACCTCCGGATCTTATTATATGCAACTTTGAGGTATTATTTGTGAGATATAAAAAATTCCAAAGTTGCATTTGATACGATCCGGAGGTAGTATATTATTTGTATCAGTAGTCTTCAACCGGGCTGTAAAACTCTTAAAACATGTGTGTATTACGGTTGACAAAAAAATATTAAGGTACTACTTCGTATTTCAAAAATTAACTTAAAAGCAAGGTATTCTGACCATCTTGCCCTGCTATTATAATGAATGTTATATGTAAGTAAAATACTGAAGAAAAATAATAATTATGACAAATTGTGTAAGGAAAGAAATTACAAAGATGTAGACCGCAATTAGGTGTTTAGGTCATCATATCTCAAAGTTTGCTGGTTTTGTTGTGAAAAAGGCTCCCCATGGAATTTGCTTTATCCCTGAGAACGAACTTCTGTGTCTTTCCAGTAGAGGTTTTCGGTAGATCCTCAAAAACAACAGAACGAGGAGCCATATAATGTGGCAAGTGATCTCTACAGAACTTAATTATATCTGCAGCAGTAACATTACCACACCCATCCTTCAGTTTCACAAATGCGCAGGGTGTCTCTCCCCAATGATCATCAGGACGTCCTACCACAGCAGCTTCTAGGACAGCCGGATGACTAAACAGTACAGATTCTACCTCAATTGTGCTAATATTCTCACCGCCAGAAATTATAATATCTTTTGATCGGTCCTTTAACTCAATATAACCATCAGGGTACTTAACACCCAAGTCTCCACTATGAAACCATCCATCCTTCAAAGCCTCCTGGGAAGCCTTCTGGTCTCTCAAATATCCATTCATGACAGTATTTCCTCTAATCATAACCTCGCCCAGTGTCTTTGCATCAGCAGGAACACTTTTCATAGTAACGGGATCTTTTACATCAACTTCCTCAAGCCCAGTAGTAAGCACTCCTTGCCGGGCCTTTAATTTTGCTCTATCATTTGGAGGTAAGCAATCCCACTCAGGCTTCCAAACACAAACTGTAGCAGGGCCGTAAGTTTCTGTCAGCCCATATCCATGTATTACAGTAAACCCAAGTTCTTCCATTTTGAAAATTACCTGTGGAGGAGGTGGGGCACCACCTGTCACCATTACCACCTTGTTTGGAAGAGGTTTCTTATCATCATCAGGAGAATTTATGATCATGTTTAAAACTGTTGGTGCACCGCTCATGTGGGTAACTTTATGCTTAGCAATACTACTGAATATATCCTTTGCAATAACATTGCGTAGGCAGACGTTTGTCCCACCCTGAGCTGCTACACCCCATGTAAAGCACCAACCATTGCAATGAAACATAGGAACAGTCCACAGATATACAGGTCTTGTAAGCATTTCATTTATTAGAACTGTAGCAATAGAGTTCAGGTATGCACCTCTGTGGCTGTAAACTACACCTTTAGGGCTCGAAGTCGTCCCCGAAGTATAATTTAATGCAATAGGGTCACATTCATCTTTTGGCCTTCGGATCTCAAATTCAGTTTTACCTGTTGCTAAAATATTTTCATATTCCAATGTTCCAGAAGGGGACATGACATTTCCAACTGGCATCAACTGTTCATCAATAACTATGACAATTTGAGGAAGCCTTGAGCTTGAATTTGACAAAATATCCAATGCACCTTGTACAACATTAAAAAATTGGGAATCTACAAAGATGACTTTTGCTTTTGAATGTTTTAGCAAAACAGACAACATTCCAGAGTCATGACGGGTATTAAAGGCACAAAGGATTGCCCCAGCCATTGGAACCGCAAAATGCAACTCATACATTGCTGGAATGTTAGGGATCAAAGCAGCAACCTGACATTGGAAAGTCGATGAATATGAAAAGCATAATAGTTAGAGAAAGTGATCATCTTATTCTGGTTTTCAGGGGAACAGTGTTGCTTAGAAAAGCAAGGTGAAATAGAGATAGATAGCCAGATCCACGAAAGAGGCACAGAAAAAATAAATAAATGTAATAATGCCAGGGGCTGAGCTTATGGGAGCACAATCCATAAGAACTAATATATTGCATTGATTTGCTTTCACATATATATCATACAATAGCAAGTTTGCACATCAAAACCAAAGGTCATTTACATTTGCATTTCATAGATGCCTCGTTGCAGTCTACTCTATGTAACAAGCTGATAGCATACAGGTGAGGTCAGAAAAACAAGCTAGAGTAACATATGTATTACCAGCATGACGAACCCACTCACACAGATCACCTGCTATTGACTATACTAATGCCAAAGTCATCTTACTAAGGTCTGCAGGGTGACCAGATGTTAAACATAGCAATGAAAGAACGAATAGTCCTTCAAATCAGATTTTTATTTAAAAAATGACGCATTCCAGGACAAAGTCTTGCTTGTATAAATAGTCCTTTAAATCTTTATCTCAATGAGCACTCCCCTATTTTACAAATAAATAATAATGGAAGAAGGAGATGTACGATCAGAAATCTCTTGTAAACCTCACTTTCAGACGACTTATTGGAATTGATTACAAAATTGGATAAATGGAAAAAGCTAAACCATCCACAGCCACCTCTTGTACTCTATCTCTTTTTGTCCTTGGTTACCCATAACCTCCCCAAACAAACCATAAGAGACCCTGAAAAATTCTTCCACAATCACCATTATTCTGCTATTACTATAGCTTTTAATTGCCTTTGTACCACCTAATTTATTCCGTTAGGACTTAGGAGGGTGCCAAACTTTATATATCACTACTATCAACACAGCTGAGAAAAAACTAAACAAAGTGAAAAGCACTAGGAATTACGAATCCAATTGAAAGCAATTCTGCAGAAGTTGATTAAGGCTTAAAACATAGGTCTGTTGAAATCCTACCATCTCTCACCCCTCACATCTTACTATCTTAACAGATCAAACAAAATGCAAACACTGATCCTAAGTTGTTCAGCAATAATAGTCCACTAAGCGGTCCTGACTAAATAACAACCAATACAGTATACACTGAAAGGACTAAGCACAAGTCAATTATAGCTTCAATACAGAAATCACTCTACAAGTATCAATTATTGTCCAATGAGAAAATTATTATATTGTTATTATTGTAATTCGTGTGGCTCATAACCATAACAATATTGTCATTAGTCTAAGATTCAAACTAGTACATACCCTTCATGTTATTCACAATGGGAGGCAAAAAAAAAAAAAAAAAAAATGCTAATCAGCTTATTCTACGGGTTTAATATATTCGGATCAAGTCAAGAAACAAAGTCCTTGAAGCAAACCAATATAGTAATCCCAAGTGGTAAAGTAGATACTAATTGCTAAGTATAAGTTAATCACTCTCACTCAAAAGTTTCTTATCCAATACAGTATGGTGATGATGAATTTGTGGGCCAAATTACAGGCAACTTTAAGAATTTTGCTTGATTACATCATAATTGAGATAAAGAGTTTATACTATCGATTGAATCCAAACCAACAAGGCTAAACTAGGATTACGAGTTGTTCGAAATTCAGATTGGATCATATTATTTCAGTTTGTAGGTAGAATAAAATAAATTCCAAACCAAAAGCCGATATACACCCCCACTTTATCCTGCTTCTTGATACACGTTTGATCAGCAATAAAACACCAAATTAAGGGTCCCTCACTTTTGATACTCAACAACAATAAAACAGTATATTATGCAAATAACACCCAAATAAATAACATCGTACCATAAAAAAAATAAAGAAATATTGGAATCAAATTCAACAATAAAAAAATCCCAGAAAATAAAGAACAAACAAAATCATCAAAAATCAAATTTTTATTAAAAAAAAAAAAAAAGAAAACTTACAACATCGCCGTAAGAAATGCCGAGTTGGGTAAGAGCAGAAGCGAGTTTAGTGCAGCGAATGAGAGTCTCTCTCCATGTAAACTTGACATTTCCATAAATAACAGAGAATTCATCTCTGTAAACAATTGCTGCTCTTTCCAGAAAGCTTATTGGAGATAATGGTACATAATTTGCAGAACATCGAATTAATCCCTCCATTTTTTTATGAAATAAAATATTAATCCAAGCTTATATTATAATGGGTATTGAATAAATTATTGGAATTTGTTGTTACCTAGATAAAATGAAGAATTGATATGAGACAGGTTAAATTTGGGTTAAATTGGATATGAACAGCCGTCTGGGGTTTTAGCCTGTTAATTGGATAAGTATAGAATACATGCAATTTTAAGAAAACCCTTTTTTTTTTTTTTTTTTTTAGACAAAGTATTTTAATTTGTTGATTTTCATTGTTGTTTCTGAGTCCATTTCTATTTTCGTCCGTTTTATTTTTCTTTTTAAAAAAATTATCTAATTGTAAAAGTTTACTACATACAAATATACAATGTAAGATTGTTCGGGTTTTTTATAAAATCAAATTATTGTCCGAAATGGAAAATCAAATTATTGTAATTATTATAGTCTTAAAAAAAATATTGTAATTGTTATAAAACAGAGGTAGTATAAGAGTAATTTGTATAATATTCATTTCTTATAGATAACCTCATTTTTTTTATAATAGTAATCCATGTTGTCCTTAAAAATTTAAAATAATCCAAATTCATTATACGAGTAATATCAAGTAATTTTAAAAAAACCACATTTATTCGTTCGAGTAGCCCTATTGACCTATTGTTTTGTGTTAGGTCTTTTAACTAATAAAAGAAAAACTTCACTACAATAATAATCACATTGGGGTTTATTAACCCTAAACTTCTATAGTAGTACAGTAGTACTACTTGGTGAAGTAACACATTGTTAATAAGATCCATGACTAAGGTTAAACTACACAATTAACAATTCACTGATTGGGTTAAACTACACATTGGGGTTTATTAATTAGAGACATGGACTAACCACAAACCACCACAAACGAACACCATGAGCCACCTAGGGTGGCTGGCTGTGCGGAAGGCCGGGGAAAGATAGAGGGGAGGGCCATGAGATGAGAGAGAGAAAAGGAAGTTTAGGGTTTTGGAAAAACTAGTTGCCTTGTTTTACAATTCACTGATTGTTAATTGTGCAGTTTAACCTTAGTCATGGATCTTATTTATAGATCATATATCTAAATAAGAGTCATGTCAAGCCCAAATACTTAGTACTAATCAAACTACTCTTGCCCAATTCTCTACATGGTATGTCATAATCTCATGAGGCCCATTAATAGGCTTCTTACTTGTTATACCCTTGTTGTGTGACCTCATAGGATCCATTCGATTTTGATTTGGACTATTTGACTAGCCCAAATATCATTTATCACATCTAGCAACAGACAATGACAAATATATATATATATATATATATATATATATATATATATATATATATAATAGTGATCCTTGATATATCTAATAATTGCACTTATCGAAGATATAATTCCTTCATTTTGTGTAGCCTTGTATTATTGGTAAAGAAACAGTGTCTCTAGAGGAGGTTAGATATGCTCTCCATACTAGAGAGTTGCACAATAAGGCATCTGGTACAGGTACAAATGACCAGGCTACTAGATTAGTAGCCAGTGAAGGTAATGGACAGGAATTTCGAGGAGAAAATCCAGAAAATCGTATTCCTTGGGTCCTAATGATGTCTGTAATTACTGCAAGGAAAAGGGGAAGTGGAAATCTGAATGTCCCAAGAAGATGAGACAACCAGATAATTCTGAATTTGTAGATATTGCACATGGAGACACCTGTTCAAAAGAGGATTATGTCTTGATTGTTGATGAACGTGCACATCAATCTGATGTGAGCACTACTAAAAAAGAAGGTTTTTGCGACCGTCTCGAACGGTCGTTGAAAATAGCAAAAACGGTCGCTGAAAATAATTGCGATCGTCAACGGTCGTAACGTGGGTGTTGTTATTAACTTGGTCGCAAAAAAAAATTACGACCGCTTGACGGTCACAAAGCTTTCTTTATTTTCAATGACCGACAATAAAACGGTCGCAAATATTATGAATTGCGACCGTTATCAAATCGGTTGCAAATATGCACATTTGCGACTTTTAAAAAAAATATCAAATTAAACGCAGCAACCAATTCCCACTGACCCCCCCCCCACCAACCTGCTGCATTCTTTCATAGCCAAAACCCCCTAACCCACCACCACCGTCCTCCCTAAACAACCACTACCCACCATCACACCCACCACCACCGTCTTTTCTAAACAACCAACACCCACCATCACCGCTATCTTTAACCCAAAAAAACCCACAAAAAATAAATCAACCAACCATATAAATTTATCAAAAAAAAAATCACAAAACTACCCACTAAAATCAAACTTGAATCAAACCAAAAATTGAAATTATCAAAAATGAAACACAAATTCAAATTGAAGTCACACAAAAAATTAACATATATCAAAACGAATATTAAACCCAAAATTAACAAAAAAAAAATCAAAACAAAAATGAAACCTAGAAAGAACAAAAACAAAAAATAAAATCAACAATCAAACATGAAATTCGAATAAAAAAAATCAACCAAATTACCCAAAATCAAACCCAAATAAACCGACCAAAAACAAACCAACCAAATTACCCAAAATCAACCAAAACAAAATGAAAATCAACCTAAAATGAGACCAAAAATCAACCAAAACGAGAAAACATAACTCAAACCTGATTTGACTTCAAACTTGACCTCAAATTTGGTTTAATAAGGTCAAATTCGACCATGAAAAGTCTAGATCTATAGTTTTCATGGTCGAATTTGACCTTAAAAACCATGAACTAGTTAACACCACCACCAAAGCATCTTGAGGGAAACGTTTTCGAACTCAACAACACCATCAAAGCATCTTGAGGGAGACGTTTAATGTCGAATTTGAACGCCATAATCCGAGGAAAAAAAAAAGAAAGAGGAAGGAGGAGGGGCAGTGAATATGGTGGCGGATCGGAGGAAAGAATTGTAGACACCGGTATAGATGGAGGATGAGGAAAGAGGAAGGAAAAGGGAGGAGAGAGAAGAAAGAAAAAGGAAGGAGAAGGGAGGAGAGAAGGAAAGAGAAGAGAGAAGGCCGAGAAAGAGGAGTGAGCGGCGTGAGGGTTAGGGTTAGGGTGAATTAGGTTCTTTTTATACAAGATTTTTTTTATAATAAAAAAGCCTTTTGCGACCGTCTAAGAGACATTTACGACCGTCTAAGAGACGGTCACAGATTATGACACTTACGACCGTCTAAGAGACGGTCGCAGATTATGACATTTACGATTGTCTTTTACGGTCGCAGATTATGACATTTACGACCGTCTCTTTGACGGTCGCAGATTATGACATTTACGACCGTCTCTGGCGGTCACAAATTATGGCATTTACGACTGTCTCTTTGACGGTCGCAGATTATGACATTTACGACCGTCTTTGACAGTCGCAAACGATTTATTTTAATTTAGAATTATTTTTAATTGTTCAAACATCCTAGCGACCGTCTAAAAGGCTAAAAACGGTTGCAAATTTGCGACCGTTGTCAAAGCAGTCGTAATATTGCGACTGCATAAAAAACGGTCGCAAATTTCATATTTTGCGACCGTTTTTAAGACGGTCGTAGAAAAACGGTTGCAATTTAGCCGAATTTTAGTAGTGGAGGTGTAGACACCCATTTGTGTCTCCCAAAACCAAACCCAGTGATGAGTACCTTTCGCGTCGAATCATAATCGAATAAAGTGAAAGTGTGGAAAGTCTAGTGTTGCGGATAAGTTTTAATTTCTTTTCTCTTCTCTCTGTTTTTGAAAACTTATTTTAAGAAAACAGCCAATCTAGTTTGGTTGGTCCATGATATGGGTCCAATAGTAGTGTAGTTGGATGGGGCTTGACAAGAGCTTTCCAACGATATATTATAAGCCCAATTCCGATGAATATTGAGGAAATTATGGCCAATTTACTAAAATGGGCCTGGTTTGAGCCTTATGTACGGCCCAATGATCTAGGGGAGGGCCTAATATGATTTATCATTCCTAATGCAATTAGGAATGGTTTTAGTCTTCTAGATTCTTCTAGAAAGTTCTTTTCATTCCTAATTCAATTAGCATTGATAAATTGACTTTTGTTGACTTTTCAGAGTTTTAATCAAAATCAAATAGCATTTTCGAGGAAGTTATATGATTTTATCCTCCAGTACGGCAAACTTATCTGATTTTCGAAAACGCGTTAAAAACAGGCTTGACGCCTGACTCTAGGGTTTGCGCCAGCTCTGTTTTTTGTGCGTCAGACTCTGTTTTGTTTATTTTATCTTTTTGGCTGATTTTCTCTATAAATAACGTATTAAAAACTCCGTTTTCATTCACCAATTCTCACGAATATTCACCTACAATCAGTTTTCATTCATCATCAATTCTCTCTAATTCTCTTCTATAATCATCTCTTTCTTTCTTTCTCAAACTTTGCTTTTAAATACAAAATTCCGCATTCACAAGATCTAGAAACACCTAGCCAAGTTCGAAGTTGCCTTCGCCCTAGACGTGAAAGGTTTTAATTTCTGAGGGTTTGGTCCCAAATCTCTTTTTCAATTATTTAATTTAATTGTTTGTTTATTATTTTCCTTGAAATTACTAACGTGTGTATTTTGTTATTCGAAAGAGGTATGAGGCATCAAAGTAAGTGCTTTAATGGTTTTAATTGATATTATGATGTAGAAATCATGTTTAAATTGTTATTATGATATTCCTAGTATCATGTTTAGGGAAAAGGTTATTATATCAAATATGCTTATTATGATTCCTACGATGCTTCCTATGTTCTTCCTAATATTTATGATTGTTAGTATCATATTAGGGTTAAAGATTTAATTTTTATTGCTTAGTGACATGCTAGGGTTTGTTATTAATCTTGTTAGTATCATGCCTAGGATCTTGCTATTTTTATTATGCTTTAACATGATTTATGATTATTTTTATAATTGTTTTGATTATGATTATATTTTTATTATTTCTATAATTATTATTATTATGGTTAATATGATTGTTATTATGATGATTACTTCATTGTTATAATTTTATGATCATGATTATACTTATTATTTTATTATTATTATGTTGCTTGATATTTATTTGTTATTGCTTGATCACACCTTTTATGCATGTTTAAAGGGAATTTGTACTTGTAATCATGCTTAATAAGATAATTAATAATCTTGTTTGGGGTTAATTTGATTATAATTTCAAGTGAACGCCAATAATAGTTTATTTGTGCATTAAAATTCAACCAACATAGATAAACAGGTTTAGGGTTAATCCTATTGATTGCATGTTGATTAGAAAGCGCACATGAATACGATCAGAATAAA